ACTTTCAGGATCATCACAAGCCTGTGGTCATCAAAGCTAATTTAACACTAGGTTCTTAGAGCTGTAGGGTGTCCTAAGCAGGGCTTTTCAGAAGTAGAATCTGTGATAAGGTTCCCTCAGTCAGGGTAAGGAAAAGGCAAATGGGAAAGAAGAAATGTTGGTAGAGGTGGTTGGCGCCCACCCTGGCTTTCCTTTACTGGCTGATGTAATGATCCCTCAGCTGCTGTGTGTTAGCTTATTAGAAGCTAACATTAGGACTCACAGTTCTTTGAAGAATTGCCCTGGTTTGAAATATTACACACTCCCTGGGGCCACAGCCAAAGACTGATGGTATGGAGACAGTAAAGTTTAGCTCCCTTGACTCTAGGAGAGACAATGCAGTGATGCTATTCACCTTCTTGGTGCATCCTGGATGATCAGGCTGAGGAGATGCTTGAGTTGTTGTTGTTAGGTGCCATCGAATAAGTACTGACTCATAGTGACCCTATGCCCAACAGAATGAAACATGGCCTGGTCCTGCACCAACCTCACAGTCGTGGCTATGCTTGAGCCCATCACTGCTGCCACTCTGCTAATCCATCTCCTTGGGGATCTTCCTCTTTTTCTCCGATCCACCACTTTACCAAACATGATATCCTTCTCCTGTGACTGGTCCCGCCTTATAATGTGTTTGAAGTGTGAGAGACAAAGTTTGACCATCCTGCTTCCAAGGAGAACTCTGATTATACTTCTTCCAACACATCTTTTGGCAGTCCATGGTACTTTTAATATTCTCCAACACCATAACCCAAATGAATCAATTCTTCTATGGTTTTCCTTATTCACTGTCCAACTTTCACATACATAAGAGGTTACTGAAAATATCCTGGCTTGAGCTAAACACTCATTTCCCCCTGACTTCCTCTGTCCCTTTTTGCTTTTTCTACCTCTATACCATTTTCTTTTGAGATCAGTCCCTCTCACGGTCTACTATTAAGCGAACCAGACCTAATACAGAAGTCAAACAGGGCTTCACGTTTAGGTGAAGCTCTAGTCTTCTAGGTTAGGTGAAATCTGATCCTGTGGCACGCTGTGGAGTACAAATGACAACACTGAGTGTGATCCATTTGGAGGCAAAGGAGCAGTTGTGTATTCTCACACTAGCCATTGTCCACAGACCACTGGGGTAGGTTCAAATGGGAGAAAAGGGGCCCATAATCCCTAGGAATGTCTGGCTCTTTTGATGCGTAAGCTGGTTCCAAGAGTCCAAGTGAAAGTGTCCAAAGACAATTAGAGTTAAGAGCTTTTTATAGCAAAGTCCACAGTAAAAATGAATTCAAGGGAATTGAGTGGTTCACCAACAGTGTCTAATTCATTGGGGGGAAACCAGGCAGCAAAGAACTTTGAGAATCAAGAATTTCTAAATTAGTACCAACTTAACTATCGGCAGCCATAAGGGTACTCTAATTAGCTGACGAGAGGTTGCTGTTTATCAATTTGTTGCTACTTATGTAGGAAGAAGTAGAGAGTAGAGTACTTATAAATCCATGTAATGAAATATTTTTCCTTTACTGAGGTTGTGTTTATATAGATGCACATTAGTTTAAACTTTTTGACCTCATTTGCTTCTAAAATTACAGCACCATAATTTCCTTTTCCCAAATGCATTCACTCTTAATTAATCTTAACCACTCTGGAGCTTTTCTGACTTCTATTATCACTATTTAAAGTTGAGGAGACTTTTAATGGATCTAAATCACATATTCAAATTAGATTCTTTTCCTAAAGTTATAATGATTCAAGATTTTATTTGATTTGGGCCCAAAATATTACCTAAAAGTTAATTTGATCATTTTACAATTTAAATCATCTGTGTGGAATAAAAATCATTAACCTTATTTACATGCGTGTAAAATGTTGACACTCTCACCGATTAACGCTTAAGAAATGCTGCAGTATTTTATACCATAAGGATTTGAGTGTGCAGTGGCTCTGTCATCTATCTCTCTGAACTCATTTTGCTTCAGAAACCTGAGGTAGGTGTTGGTTTCCAACTTTTGCTAAAACTTTGGTAATGTAGCTGTCTACATAGCTCTGGTAGCGTAGTGGTTACAAATTGGGTTGCTAACCTCAAGGTCGGCAGTTCGAAATTACCAGCTGTTCCATGGGATAAAGATTAGGCTTTCTGCTCCTGTAAAGATTTGCAGCTTCGTAAACCCTGTGCAGGGTCACTATGAGTTGGAACTGACTCCATGGTACTTAACAAACAATAATGACACCTAGACTGTATTGTGTGTGGAAACCTTGTGTACGCCAGGGACTGACCGAGAGAGCAAGTGGTCCACTGAGCCTAAGCTTTAGAGTAATCTTCCTAGGATAGTGGGGAGAGCTGACCCTCACAAGACCTGGTCCAGGGGTGCTTGAGGCCACAGGTTGGAAAGTGTCAAACTTTGGGCTTAGACTCCTTTCTTTCAATGGTGCTCTGGATTAATGTGCTGGTTTGAACTGCAAGGTCCGTGGTTCAAGATCACCAGCCACTCCTTGGAAATCCTATACAGAGTTGCTATGAGTAGGTACTGACTTGATGGCATGTAACAACAACAACAACAACAACAACTCTAGAAAAGCCTAAACATTGTGTTATGGGTAGAAACTTGCTAGGCACAGCAGTGGGGAGGATTTCTTAACCCTCAAGGACTAAATGGGACAGTTCATGGAATCCAAGCTGCCCTTGAGGCTTAATGCAACGGTTCTAACTCAGCCTGTGGTTTGAGTTGATGCTTTGCCGCTTGCTACCTGGAAAATAGTGGTGGTGGTGGTGGTGGTGTGCCGTGGAGTTGGTTCTGACTCATAGTGACCCTGCATAGGATTTCTGAGGCTGTAAATCTTTATGGGAGCAGAAAGCCACATTTTTCTCCCACGGAACAGCTGATAGTTTTGAACTGCTGACCATGAGGTTAGTAGCCCAACTTGTAACCACCACGCTACCAGAGCTTCTCTAGTTCAAGTCACCTGCCATCTAGACTATTGACTGCCTCCTGATTGGTCCCCTGCACCTGTGCTGCCTCCAACAGCACTGTTTCCTTCACTATATAGCCAGGATGGTTACTTTGATTGTGTCAATACTTAATAAGATTTCCATGGTTTCCCAATGCTACCTGTATAGACAAAATTCCTCCCCAGAACCAACAAAGTATGTCTTTGATTTCCTATTTTTAATACACTGGGCATCAAATCATGGTAAACGGTGAATTGTATCAATGTACATTGCAGCAAGGAGCCCTGGTGGCACAGTGGTTAAGAGTTTGAGTGCTAAGTTAAAAGTTGGTTTTAACCCACTAACTGTGGGAGAAAGATGCAGCAGTCGGCTTCTGCAAAGATTCCAGCCTTTGAAGCTCTATGGGGCAATTCTATCCTGTCCTCTGAGGTTACTATGAGTCAGAATAGAATTGATGGCAGAGGTTTTTGGTTTTTTTTTTTTTTTGTGTGTGTTATTTTGTTTTCGTTTTTGGCTCATTACAATATTGCTTACAATATCCAAAAGGTGAAAAATACCCAAGTATTCATCAATATATGAATGAATAAATAAAATGTGATACATTCATATAATATAATTTGTATAATTGCTCAACCATGAAGAGAGATAGTGGCAGGAAGTCCTCACCAGAGATGCAGCTATGTAGATGATCTCCATCAACCAGCAACTAGAGAGGTTTGGAGATCAGTTCTATCTGAGCCCAGTAAAAGACTAGGCCTTCCAATGAAATTCGGATATGTTGTTGTTGTTAAGTGCTTGTGAGCCCATTTCAGGAGCCATGGGAGAGAGGCAGTGAGTTCTTGAAGACATCTGCCAAGTCTTGTGGTCCAACTCCCATCTACCAAATGTTAAGAGCTATCATTACCTTATCCCTCCAGGGAGCTCATGGGTATATTTTGGGGAACGTTCTCCAGGAAAAATGAAATCTGGAGACTGTATCCATTCCAGAGACTTCACAGTACTGGGTTGGGCATACTTGCCCTGAAGGAGAAAACAGAAGCTCAAATGGAGAATTGTGGTCCGTGTCCAGACTCTTGTAGGGAACATACAACCCAGTCTTGGTCTTGGCTCAATGACCTTGACTAGGCACCTCCTTTCTCCATTCTTGGATTTTCCTTTCCTTAACAAGTTCAGATTAGCTTAGAGGTTCTCAGAGTCCCTTAGCCAAATAGATGTCTTCTGACCCTGGCCATTTCCACAGTTGTTTAGCCAATCTACTTCTAGATTGTATGGGCTTTTCTTTTGCAGTATTGAGGCAAGATGGCTTGATTTTTGCTAACATGTAAATTCTTTTCTCTTAGGTGGGTGCACCCAAAGCACTGGTGTTTACTGCCCATAGCTGGAAGAGGGTGAGAAGTCTCATCCACTGCATTTCCATATGGTGCCTAGCATATGCAAATTCACACTGGCTCATTGGGAATAATATTCAATAGCAACCCTTTCAGATCTCCTTTTGCTCTTAACTCCCTGAGAAAGGTTTGAGGTGCCCCCTCCTTCAAAGTTTAGTTTTCTTCTGTGTGCCTGAGCAGAAATCATGACCCTGAGATTTCAGTGGTATTTCCAGGTCTTCATTAGTCCTGAAACATACCTGCCTTGTGACTCAATGCAACAGTAGTCTGAATCTCTCTAAGCATTACAGTCCAAGAGGTAGAGTGGGGATGCTAACCAATCATAATTCTGAATTTACAGGCTCTAGGTAGGACCTTAGCCCTATGAAAATTCTCCTCTCTGGATAATTTGGAAAATATCTGTAGTGCGCCTTACAGCGATTTGGGAATAGTCAACCATGCTTGTAGTGAGTTAAATAGTGTCTGACTTTCCCCAAGCTCATATCTACCCAAAGCACCAAACATGGCCTTACTTGGAATTTGTTTTCTTTATCATGAAAATAAGGAAGTTCTGGTGGATTTTCAGCATCTCAGTAGCATCTGGGCTGTCTTTCCATGGCTCACTTAATCTCCACCCTGCCCCATACAGTTGCAAAATGGCTGCAGAGGATTTAAACACCGTGTTCTCACACCAACAGTAAGGGATACAGGATTTCCCAGTTACCTCTCTTTTTTTAATCAAAGAAGAAAATGCTTTCCCAAAGGCCTAATAACTCTTCAAGTCCCATTGGGCAGAACATGATTGCATGCTCTTGTCATTATTGCAAAGGAGACTTGGAAAGAGAATCTTTGAGGTTGATAGCATCTCTTGTGGGACATAGATTATTGAAAAAAAGGGTGGATGATGGCTATTGGGTAGAAAATAGGTTTTGAGATGGTGGTTGACATGCCTACCCTGGGATTTTCTCCCAAGATCAGGCTGGACCTACTGTGGACCTGTTTGTGCTGAGCTCTGATGAGCTGTAAACAGAATTGGGGATAAGATTTCCTTTTGCATTATGAGGAAAATATTGCCCTTGGGCCAATGTGACAGGCTGAACACATTGGCTGAACACAAGGATGTCAATGCCCTAATCCCCAGAAGCTGTCACTATGTTGCCTTGGTGTGGTGGTGGTAATGGTGTGCCGTGGAGTCACATGGCAAAATTTCAGAAGTGGGTAAACTAAGATCTTGAGATGGAGAGATTATTCTGGATTATCCAGGTGGGTCCAATGTAACCCAAAAGGCCCTTATAAGACGGAAGCAGAAGATTCAGTCAGAGAAAAAGTTGTTTACAATTGTATGGCCAGGAGTCTCTAGAAGCCGGAAAAGGCAAGGAACAGAGTCTCCCCAGCAGCCTCCAGAAGATTCACAGCTGTGCCAACACCTTGATTTTAGCCTTGTAAGACCCAAGGAAGAGCTCTGATGGCACAATGATTAAAGCACCTGGTTGCTGATCTTTTGGTTAGCTCAGTCAGGTCTGAATTCCCCAGAGGCTCGTCTGGGGACCTTGTTTGACAAGACTTTCTCATCTGTGAGAGTCTGATTTCTTATCTCCAATCTTCTCAGCAAAAGTTCCCCATCCAGAAGGTTTCTCTTCAAACGGTTTGTGATTTGAACTCAAGGACATCAAGACTCAAGGACACCGTGGTTGGTAAAGATGAGAGTGAGCCCAGATGAGGGAAACCCATAATGAGATGAGTTGGCGCAATCACGAAAGCAATGGACTCAAAGATTCCAGTGATCATGAAGATGCTGCAGGAGCTGGCAAGCTTTTGATCTGTTACACATAAGGACCCAACTCACAACAGAAAGACCCACTTGGGACTTCTGTTCTCTACCAAATCCACTGCTATTGAGGTGATTCTGACTCATAGCAACCCGATAAGATAAGGTAGAACTGTTCCTTAAGCTTTCTGAGATTGTAAATCTTTGTGGGAGCAGATAGATTCATCTTTATCCTGAGGAGCAACTGGTAGGTTTGATTCACAAACCTTTCAGGTAGTAACCCAACACTTGACCCACAGAGCCAAGTCCCCAATCATATGGTAATTTATTACAACAGCTGTAGGGAACTAATTTAGTCCTGGACAGGGGAAATGGAGCCTTCATCATCTTCCAGATGTTTTCTCTCCCTAGAGCCCTCCATGTGTCAGTCAGCCATCCTCCCCATCCTCACCTTGCCCCGGGCTCCCACAGAAACACCAAGAGCCCTGTGAAACCCCCATGTGTTAAATGGCTCCTAGGGTCTATGCTCAGTCAGGTCTGAATCTCCCTAAGGCCTATCTGGGGGACCTTGTTTGATGAGACTTTCTTGTCTATGGGAATCTGAGTCCCTATTTCTAATCTTCTCAGTAAAAATCTCTCATCCATGTGATTCCCCTGTTTCCAGTAGAGAGATACTTGTGACCTGAACCTCCTGAAGCTCAGTCTGTAGTGACTGGCAATGATGAGTAAAGCAGGTTCTAAGAACAGGCCATAACTGTTCTATGAGAAGTGGTACTCTAAAGGAATGAAGCAGCTCTTCAGCAAGGTTGGGGCCTGAACAGACCACACTAGAAGGCGGGGCAGCAGGAGTACTCATTCTCTACTTCCATTCCCAGTGAATCTGGCTGTAATTCAGCCTTGTGATGCTGGATGTGAAAGTAGGGGTGAACTTCACAGCTCTAGAGGTGAAATCTGGCTCTCCAGCTGGTTCTGACATGGGACAGCTGTTCCTTACCTAGGAACAATGCAAAGGTGGTTGCTTCAGGCCTTGTTTGCAGCATTCATTTGGTGTCTGTGCAGCATTGTACCCATTAAAGATAACACCTGTGACAACTAGTTTTCAATTGATGAATGATCTCTCACAGCTGATGATGAAAACAACAATGGCCAATTGTTGTTGTTAAGTGCCATCATAGTGACCCTGTATAGGGTTTCCATTGAGTGGCTGGTGAGCAATTCAAACCGACCTTGCAGTCCAGTGCATTAACCTGCAGCATCATGCTAGGACTCCAATAGAGATTGGTTTTTGGCACCTCCATCAAGCAGCACCCTGGGCCTCTGCTAAACCTGCCAGTACCTTAGACATACCTCTGGTTCTGGAGCCCTGAGTAAGCAGGCTCTCCTGGTTCCAATAGGCTGATGCCAACTCAGGCTATCTCAGGTAAGGAAGGGCCTGTCTCTTGATTGCTCAGCTCTGTGGAATTGTCTGAATCTGGGAAACTGCCTTGTCAGTAACTGTGCCTATCCATTCTTTTTCTCCCCTACTCCCTACCCCCACTTGTCCTCTCTTCTTTGAAGTTGTGTTTTGCTCTCTCTCTGCTGAGTGGATTCCACTGCTCACTGTTAGCCTGCTCCTGGCACAAAGTGATGGCATATAGCCAGTCCTTTCTGTGTCATATCTGCTGTTCTGCAGGTCCCAGTAACAACCAACCCAAGCATCCCTGCCCCCATGAAGGCTGCAGAAGAAGGATGTTAGTGACCACTGATCAGTGTAGTCACTCACTCAGTCACTCATTGCCAGGGAACCACGTACTCAACAGGGCAGTGGACAGGAACACATTGTGTGAGAACAGGTTATGCTCAGGGTTCATGTCCCAAAATAAGTCCAGTGCAAAACTTGTAAGCCACAGCATTGCCAGGAAAGGAAGTGAAATGTCAAGAAAATCGCCATACTCACCGTGGCCAACTCGAGGATTCAAGGCTATCTCACTGTTTATTTGGGGGATTTAAACACAAACACAATGTGATACCTGAATCCAAGGGAGCGTTCATTACCTGTCACAAAGAGAAATGAAGTTCTGGTGTTATGACATGGGTGAAACTTAAAAGCATTGCCATTGCTATTATGAAGTGTTATTTAGTTTGTTCCGAATCATAGCAATACTTATAGAGTTTTGGAGGAGTGGCTGGTGGGTTTGAACCACCAAACTTTGGTTAGCAGTCAAGTGCTTAGCCTACAGCGCCACATCAGGACTCCTTGAAAATATTATGTTGAGTGAAATAAGTGAGATACAAAAGAACAAATATTGTACGATGCCACTGATTTGAAATACCTGGAATAGACAACTGTTCACAGATACTAAAGTCCATTTGTGGTTACTAGGGGAAGGAGGGAGGTGGCGGAATCGGAGTTTCTGCTAAGAGTGATGAAAAAACTTAGGACTGGTTAGTGGTGATGGTTCTACAATGTGATGAAGTTAATTAATGACATTGAAATGTACTTATAAAAATATTAAATCACATATCTATGTTATATATATGTATATATACTCACACACATATTTAGAGTTATTGTTGTTGTTAGGTGCTGCTAAGTTGGTTCCAACTCATAGCACCCTTATGCACAACAGAGTGAAACACTGCCTGGTCCTGTGCCATCCTCATCATCATTGTTAAACTTGAGCCCATTGCTGTTGCCACTGTGCCAATCCAACTCTTGGGGAAAAGAGAGGGTCTTCCTCTTTTTCATTGACCCTCTACTTTACCTAGAATTATGTCTTTCTCCAGGGACCGGTCCCTCCTGATAATATATTCAAAATATGAGAGATGAAGTCTCGCCATCCTGGCTTCTAAGAAGCATTCTGGCTGTACTTCTTTCAACACAGATTTGCTCTTCTGACAGTCCATGGTACTGTTAATATTCTTCTCCAACACCATAGCTCAAATACATCAATTCTTCTACGGTGTTTCTTCTTCAGTCTCCAACATTCAAATGCATATGACTATTGAAAATACCATGGCTTGGGTCAGGCACACACACACACGTGTGTGTGTGATATATATATATATATATATATATATATATATATATATATATATATATATATATAGTGTGAGTGTGTGTTTGTGAAATTTTAAAAATCAAAAGCTACATGAGAAGAGCTATGCTTGTCCTGTAAGAGTCTATCCTATCTTCTTCAGGCAGTGAGCTCTTTTCCCAATGCTTTTTACAACATTCCAACTTTCTGTAAAATAGTTTTTGTTATATGCTTTCTCCCAAGTTGCGAACAAGGCCATTGTTACAGAGAACTCCTGGACACACCACTGGAATCTTATGGAATATGTTGTTGTTTTTAAGTTGTTGTTAAGTCGAGTTGATTTCAACCCACAGTGACCCTGTACAGGGTTTCCGAGGAGCAGCTGGTGAGCTCGAACCTCCAACCTTACAGTTCAAACGGCTTTGCAGTCTGGTACATTAACCCACAGCGCCACACCAGGCACATATGCCTGTGTGATTTCAGGTGCTGGGTCTTAGGGAAGTACAGTGGGCACTGAATTGAAGCTCAGATCTCTCTGAGCATATGAAAGAACTGACTCTAATGGTTGATGGGTGGGAGGTCCTCAGTTGTCAGTCCTCTTTGAGGATGCTCTTGTCTAGAGAAACCAGCACCTCTGCACACCACACATCTTTCCCAAGGTACTCCACATCCAATTACTTATCAACAAAGCTCCAGTTCTCCCCCAGCTAGATCACCTCTACAAGACCATTGCAGAACCAGACTCCCTGGAGGTCCCTGTTGGTTCTGCATCACATCACAATTCTTCCTCTGTCTAATCCTCTTCTTCTCCATTACATATTCCTGCCTGCTAATCTTTCAGGAGCTCTGATAGGATAGTGATTATAATTTGGGCTGCTAATCTCAAGGTCAGCAGTTCAAAACTATCAGCTGTTTTGCGGGAGAAAGATAAGGCTTTCTACTCCCGTGAAGATTTACAGTTTTGGGAACCCTGTATAGGGTCGCTATGAGTTGGCACTGACTCCAAGGCACATCACCACCACCACCAGCAATCTCCTTTACAGAGCCGGCTCCTCAGGGAACACAATCTGTGTTGGAGTGCCCTGAGTTTTAGTTCATTTTAGGGCTATCAAGTTAAATCTGTGCTCGGATCAGTTCTGCATCATTACAAAAGGCCTTGCTTCCAAGGTTTGCCTTTTGTCTGACTCACATGGGGGCCCCTTCTAGGAAGCTCTGAAGCAGGGTGACCAAGCAAGGTGCAACCAGAGGACTGGCTGCACAAGTCCCAGGAACAGGGATCCAGATGTGTGATCTTCAGAAACACAGGTTTATGCTGTGATGTCCAATACCATAAATGCCCAAGGCAAAATGGTGGTCATTGTCAGTCTGCTTCATGTAGAGCCCAGATGAGTGGGGCTTTGCCTTTCCTAACAGGTCAAACCTGGTGCAACTTGCTGAGCTCTCAGATGATTTGTTCAGCTCCTTGGGTGAGAAGGTAAAAATCCCATACTGCAAGCACGAGAGTGACTCCTGAAAACCTAGGGAAGACAGTTGTGTTGTTGTGAAAGTATTGACCTCCCCACTCTGCTTATCATAGAGAACTAAACTTATTCCTTACTGCCTATTTCCATGCAAAGACAAAAGCAAAACAGAACCAAGAAGTTGAGAAAGGCCCAGGAAGAATTCTCTACACTCTACTTGCATGATTTGCAAATTTGAGGTAAGGGCCACCAAGGATCTTCATTATTTTTATGTGGCACCAATAAACCATTTTGTACTTCCTTCAGTCACTTCCCAGGCCCACAGTCATTCATCTTTTATGCACAGAGAGGCAACTTTCCTAAACTTCATTGCTATATTGTAAATACAGACATAAACTGCTCCCAGCTGGCCCTGGTCTTTAAACGAGAGCGTTCAGGTTCCCACCTCTCTCCCCTCTTCCCCAGCTTCCCTTCTTTTATTTTGTATCTTGTAAGGACTATCAGGAGACACTACACTAGAAGTGAATCTTATCTGACAGTGGGTTTCTAAGCATTTTTATCTAAATAATTCCCCCACATAAGAGGTCTGTGCCATTGTGAGACTGGAAAGATATGCACTGATAACTTCGGAGTCCTGCAGCCCTCAGTGAGATTTGATGACTGAAGCCCTCACAGGCTGGGCTCCTGGTGAAAAACAGCACATTCCTGTCTGCTTCTGGCCTTGACAGCACAGCCACTGTTATCCTTCTGATTTGGATCTTTGTCTTTGGAAGAAGGAAGATGGTCATATGATGGATGATTCAAAGAAATCCCCAGATTTTAAGTCTCTTGGACATATTTAGGTCCTGAGTAGCAAAGAGCTCCTTATGTGAGGAAGAGGCTGGCTTTGGGTCTGTAATGGAAAAAGCAAGAGTCTGGTTGGTGTCTCTTGGCATTTTCATTCTCTGGAGAGTAGACAGCCATCCATCATATCACCATGCCAAAGGTGAGCCTGTTGTCAAGGCCTTCAGTCTCCACAGCCAGGGTGGGATTTTTACATTTTCTGATTCTCCCTGTCCCTAGAGAAAACCAACTAATTGAGCCTCCAGAGTCTTTAGCAGGAGTTGAATTTAAATTTTTTCATTTGGGAAAAAGATCTCTGTCAAGAAGCCATCTTTGTCTGCTAAGTCACCCACCACAAGAAAGTCATGATTCTTTCCACCCCTGTTGATGAGATCATCCACTTTGCCTGAAGAGCCTTTGAGATGACACCTGGAGCACCTGAAGCAGATGCCTAACAAGATATTGCTGAATGTTTCCAGGATCCACCCTCATCGCCCATTTTTGTTTCCATAGCTATATCTAGACTTAGACGCCAAATCCTTAAATATTGCTGTGATTGCTATTTTAGATAAGTTAGATTTGACTGTGGGAGCTGTCCTAACTAAACTAAGACAGCTAAGTATAATGGAGCTGATTGACCCACGTGGTGCCAGCAGTCAAGCTTAATCAACAAAGGCAAAATGGATGTGGCTACTGTAATTACAGCATAGTTAAAACAGCAATAAGAATAGTCTGACTCATGTGAACTTATGACTCATAGTGCCACTATACACAGCAGAATGAAACACTGCACAGTCCTGAGCCATCCTCACAATTAAGCTTGAGCCTGTTGCTGCTGCCACTATGCCGGTCCAACTCGTTGGGAGTCTTCCTCTTTTTCTCTGACCTTCTAGATTGCCAAGTATGATGTCCTTCTCCAGGGACTGGTCCCTCTTGATAATATGTCTGAAGATGGAGAGACAAAGTCTTTCCACCCTGGCTTCTTAGAAGCATTCTGTCTATCCTCCTTCCCACACAGATTTATTTGCATTCTACCAGTCCATGGCATTTTTAATATTGTTCACCAACACCATAATGCAAATGCGTAAATTCTCCAATGGTCTTCCTTATTCAATGCCCAACTTTCACATGCAGTGTGGCGATTGAAAATACCATGGCTTGCATCAGGAGAGCCTTAGTCCTCAATTCAAGTCACCTATTTGACCTGTGGTTCTCAGAGAATGCCATTAGTGGATTTCAAAAACGTCAGCTACCGTTCCAGATGTGCTTTCATGTTTGAGTAAATCAATACATCTCTTCGTACCTGGTAGGCAGCTATTGATCTGGCTAGTGACTTTTCCCTCCATACCTGTTTTGAAGGAACACTAGAAGCAGTTTGCCTTCATCTACAGTACCAGCAATATATCTTCACTGTCCTACATCAAAGTTATATCAACTCTCTAGTCCTATGTGAAAGGGAAAAAAACAACCCGGCGCTGCTCATCAACCACACCTCACACCAAATGGCCCATCTAGAGACTTTTATTCAGGGTGAGGAAGGTAACCTCTGCCAGAGAGAGAAGGCAGAAGGCAGAAGGGAAGAGAGGAAGAAGAAGAGAGAGTCCATGGGAAGGGAGGGGATTTATATAGTTTCAACAGGAAGGGCGTGGTCATTGCTGGGGTGATTTAGCTCTGGCCTATCAAAAGCCATGTTGTCCTTTAAACTGCGCGCCTTGTAGCTTAGGGCGGGGAAACAGACAAAATGGAGTTGGAGAGAGGGGAGAGGGAAGAACCGGAAGGTATTGTAACATTGTAACATTATGTCATAATTTAGTTTGCAGGAAAATTATAATCTTTCCCTTCCAAATGATGCCACACTGATTAATTACATTGATTATACTATGCTGATTGGACCTAGTAAGGAAAAAGAACCAATGATGCTAAACTTATTCGTAAGACATTTGTATGCCAAGGGTGGGAATTTAATCCAATAAACTTTTGAGTGCCTTCCACTTCAGTGAAATGTATTGGAGTCCAGGTGTATTTGAGATATTCCTTCTAAAGTGAAGGATAATTGGTTATATTTTGGTCCCCCTCCAGCCCTAACCCCTGCCCCCCCCCCCCCACCAGGACTTAAAAGGTGGCTGGCTGGGTGAAGCTCTTTGGATTTGGGAGACAACACATTCCTTGGTGTGCTACTATGACTTATATATCAAGTGTCTTAAAAAGCTGCCAGCTTTGAATGGGGCTGAGGACAAAAGAAGACTTTAATAAAGGTTCCTGGTGTGGTGCTATAGGATAATCACTGGGCTGTGAACCACTAAGTTGGCAGCTCAAACCCACCAGCTGCTCCTCAGAAACCCCATAGAGGGTTGCTATGAGTTGAAACCTACTCGATGGCATTTAACAACAAGGTTCAGACTGTCATTCATGCCACCCTGGGTCATATGATATGGTTGGTCCAACAGTGCTTGAATTGTCAGTGGCAGATAGTGGTGCTGTTTGCTGTTTTTGGCAGGCCTCTATTGATGAATCACACCAAAGACCCTTAGGGATCTGGAGCAAAGCTTTGCTATCTTCTGTAGATAACTGCTTTTGAGAAACAGCTTTTGGTTTGCTTTTGGGTCTTAGTAGAGCCTCAACCCTTAACCTTGGGTCAACAAGTCACCATGTGGTCTGAGCTGGCATCATAAATGGGATGTTGACCTGTATAGAGTTTGTGAGGAGTGGCTATTGGGTTTAAACCACGAACAATGAACCACTGAACTTGCAGTTAGCAGTCCAGTGCTTATCTTACAGTGCCAGACCAAGATTTTATATCTATATCTATATAGATCTATATCTATATCTATATAGATCTATATCTATATCTAT